TAGTGATGAGGGCCGGATAAATCACTACCCAGTCTTGGGGTATTTATAAATGGGTATTGACCCCAGTGGTGGGCAAATACCAAGAGTGTGGGTATTTATAAAAAAGTATAAACATCAGCAATGTTTTGCATAGTTTATTGGATTGTTCATGTCAAAATTAGTATTAAGGGATGACCATTTGTTTGTTAAAACGTATTTTTAGTTATATGGGGCGAATTAAAATCTCGAGAAACCCGTGAAAAATACCCAGATGCTATAAAAGTGAATACTTAAAATTTTTATGATTTTAGGTATTTATGATTGTAACTATCAGTTTCATATATTTTCTACAGGTCCTAAAAAATATAATAATTCGTAGCGAAAAAGCTATAAACATTATACAGATTTTAAAAAAGCTTATAAAAAAGGTACATTGGCTATCTATACTCCCCTAAATACAAAATACTAATAACATATTTTTATTAACTTTACGACACTTGATAATTTTTTTTGTAATTGAATTTACTTTAAGGTTGATCACAAATAGTCAACTACAGGAATATAATTGGGCAACACTAAGTACTGGACGTCTAATCCAGAAATACTTTTTTATGCTTGGACCTTGTATGAACGGTATTACTGTCAAAAGTTTTGTGCTCAATATTCATATTGATACATTCGTTTTTAGTTTCAAATATGAATGTTCCGATATAACCATTAAAACATGTCTAGTTAAAAATAATCTTATTCAATAAACCTAATAACTTTTAAATCTACATACGGATACAGTTTTCTTAGTTTATTGCATTTACATTTTAGTAATTTGGGTACTCAAAATTTAACTGGAAATGTGTAAGTGTGCAATATGTGTTATATACGTAATAATATTTAAACAAATAAAATAAAAATGTACACAACAAACACATTCCAATGTCGTTTAATGGGAAAATATTAAATTAAAACTTGTGTGTAGCGTGCAGCTGAATAGTTATAAATAGCCAGGTATTTTTTCATCTCCAATGGGTATGAAGGACAAACTTCAACTATTTAAAATGACAAAGAATTGTACATTGGAATCATGAGTGTACATATTAAGTTGAATTGTGTAATTTTAAAGAGACAAATATTATATCGAGGTCACATTTTCAACCTCCCAAGAAAGAAGAGTTAAAGGAACTGTATTTTAAAATCATTTTCAATTGAGTTAACTTTAAACACGCCTTGTGACAAAGACTGACACAACTGTACTTACTTATACATCATTATTCATATTTTTTATGACTTTGGAGGTCAAATTTCCAACATTCCAAGTAACAAAGAACTGCATTGATATATTTGGTAGCCTTGCACATCGATGCCCTACAGATATTGATGAATTCCACGAACCAATCCCTAGCTGACTCGTGGCCAAGCGTGATGTCAATTTCATTATATTAAATAACTTTATGGTCTTGTAATTGATTAAGACAAGGAAATAACAATAAATTTAGTTCAGATCAATTACTGATATTGAATAAATTTAGATGTAACTAATTGCAATTCCTAAAATAGTTGCTTCTTAAAGCCTTATTGTTGTCAAACAATTTTCCAAGTAATTCAAGTATCAATTTCAACGTATTACATATAATTAATAAGGTATTACATAAAAAAGTGAGGTTGTTTTAAGGAATTTTTTTAATACCTCTATATAATGCCTTGTGATTCCTATTTAAAACACCACCATCGGGTCACGCAAACACTTTTAAATAAGCACATCGTTTGGGGGTCACATCACAGTTAAAAAAATATATACACAATACAGTATTTGCACATACAAACACGGTCGAATAAACTGTAGACCTACTTTAAGGAAAAAGAAAGGTAAGCACATGACGGGTGCCTAGTCGACACTTTTTTTATTTTATTTTTTTTATATTTTTTATTTTTTTTTATTTTATAAACTGCAACTTATTCTAGCGATGTGCTGATTTAAATTGTGCACTGGGATGAACATCGAAATGTACGTAGTCCTATCCTGGAGAACAAGAAGTACAGTACAATGTATGTAGTAATAGGTATTGTAATCTTTTCACAGTTTATGTCAACGTGATTTGGAATAAACAACACAAAAGTATATTTTTCTGGCTGGATAAGAATCCAAATTTTAAAATTAATAGTTAGTTATTACTTTTTTGCTTATTTTTGTTTTTGCTTTTTAACTTTTTTAACGAGCAAAAAGTGATTGATCGAACTAAAAAATCGTTACACCAAATAGGTTGTAGAAATGTTTCCAAATAGAAAAAAATAAATGATTGTAAAAACTCGTGATGTAGATTACGTCGTTAGTTAGAATCAACATTATTTATTTATAATAGGGTTTCAAATTGTTTTATTACACGTGCTATTTTCGCCAGATTGCAAAATAGTACTAAGATACATATTTCAAGTCATTTGTTTGCGAGCTTGAGACGAATATTGTTCTTGAACTAGCATTATGCTCTCTTTCCGTAAGTGCGGTTTCAAATACTCAAAAACATATATGAGGTCAAATAATTAAATATGTAGAGAATGGTTGTATAGAATGAGTATGGAGAACTGGGGGGGGGGCTAGGGGGTTCAGTCACGTGGCGTTTGGAACTCCTGACAGGAATGGACAGGTTGAATTATTTATAAGAATGAAATATTAATCGGATTCTCGATAAGCTGGCTTTTAATCCAACCGTTTAGCTCATTCCATCGATTATATAACTTCCGAAAGTATGTAAAATTGAAGCTGATGCTTATTTTGAGTTACAATAATAAAGTTCCCTAATACTAACTATGTATTCCCACAAATTTAATACTTTGTACTTTTTTAATACTTAATAATAGTCGTCCGAAAAGTGGATCCTTGCCAAATATCGATTTTATTCATTCTTTGCCTCTTTGGCATGATCACATGACGAGTATTTTCAATTAATTGTGTTATCCTAATTGAGTAATTGTGTCTCATAGGATCAATAAATTCAATTATTAAGTTTGCGAATTATTTAAGTGAAGTTTTAAAATCGAATACGACGATAAATTCACTATATTATTGGCCTTTTTAACAAAATAATATTGCACCAAGACATAAAATACAGATATTTTCACTAGTACTATCTGTACAACTGGAACTAAATTGAAAACATCACTTCATTACTGGAATTTGAACGGAAACACGTCAAGTGACTTTTTGCTCCCTTCTCGATCTCTTGACTAGAGAATAGTGTTGTAGCGTAGCGTACATGGGTTCTATCACATCAATAAAATGGATGAGAATTTATGTGACAAGCAATTGACAATTCAATTTGCTATGTAGAAGAATATACTTCCTGTATATATTGTGACCTTTTATATCATAGGATTTTCGTGTTGCCTACTAAATATAAGACAGGTAAAGTAATTGAAAACTAAAGCAATGTTGATTAAACACTACAATAATAATCAGGAGGAATACAAATATTAAGTAACTAAATGTTCGAGTATTTGTAACCGATATAACCTAAATTTCGACAAATTAACTTAAATTACAAATCATTTATTAAACTAACCTACCAACCTATCATGATTGCTTCAGATCATAAGCTTCAGCGGGTAAGTTTGTTTAAGACTTAATTTTAAAGTTTCAAAGCACTATAAAGTCTAAAAGGAAGTACAAAAAAATTATGCAAGATACAAATGAAAGTAAAAAAGAGAGAGAGAAGGATGACACAATTCCACGACTGTTATTACCTTGACTGGAGCAGGATCGATCCCAACACCTAAGGGTTGTGATGTCTCAGTTAAAACGCGATGTCATGTGCATAACGCGAAGAATAAGCTTTACATAATTGAGTACTAAAGACGAAAGATTCTTATTGGCGTTTCAATACACAGTAACAAATCAGAAATATAATCTTGACTAAACAATCGTAACTCAGCAAACCAGCAGGTTGAGAGGATTTCATTAATTACTATATTGTGTTGAAGATAAGTAAAACGGATCGTAATACGAAAAATTACAAGTATACGCAAAGCCAGAACAATTTACTTAGAGATTGAGCCTTCAACGTGTATAGACGTAATATTGTAAAATCTTTTCTTGGATAAAAAAGATTGAAAAAACTTCTACAATTGAAAGGCGGGAAATAAGACAGTTATTATGGTTTATAGAGCAAACACGTCGCAATAACAACCTTTCGAAAATCGTAATTGGTGTTCCGAACACTGACATTTACTCATTTCGTGGAATTCTTCACGTTGTTTCATTTACCATTGTTATATATTAGTTTAGTTACATTTAGGTAAATAATTATGATTAATGATAAATTAATTTATTTCCAATCATTGCTTTATCATTTTATTTTCACGCAATTACATATAAGCTGTTTTAATTACAATCTTATTCCACACAATACTAGATAGAGGTTCAAATTGTCTCTTAAGTACATTCGCATAAATCGATTGAAGAGACAGAATACGTTCGCTGAATGCAACATAGCTAGAGTAGAAATGGAGACTGGATGATAGGGTACTTGATGAGTTCGCGTTCGAATTGCTATAATGATGTGACGCTGCCAACGCAGCTCACTTATTATTGCAATGTTCGATATTTTTTCAGAACTGCGTCATTTATTTTTGGTTACACTCTACTTAAAGTTTCGATTAACACAATTTCAACAGTTATTTGGATATGTTTCAAAGAGACATTAGTTAGTTAAAAAAGCATTTTTTACAACTTTAGAATGATATCCTCATATCTTCATTTGTAGGCTTTTGCGGTAGTTGTAACTAGAATCTATAGTGTTATAGACTTAAACAGCCTCGTCAGAAGAAGATTGCTATCAGCCGTTTCACTCTTGTCGTACTTTGAGACTTACAATGTGGTTGACGCCGAAAACCACTGTTTGTATCAATTCTCTAATGTAGTAATGTGACGTCAAGCTAAATGGTGAGACGATTTGATCCAACTTGATGTATTTATTTACTCATTACAGTCAACAGATTGGGAACACCAATTAAACATCAACAACCGAACTAACCTGCAACTCCGGAGGACCTCCTTCGTCGCGGATGAGCAGCAGATGACTCTGCCCGTCCAGGAGAATCTCCTTCTTGAACCTGCCTCCCTCAGGGGACTCCTCCTGCATGTAGGAGCCAGTGAGGTAGCGGTGGACGAGGGCGGACTTGCCTGAACACAACGATCCGACGATGCCCAGTCGCAAGTCCGGCACTGACCGCGACACCGTCCATTCCTGGGAGTTGACGAAGGAATCTGAAACAAAAACAAGGTTTTGAATCAAAAATATTGTTTGGTGTTAGTAACATTATTTTGAACTTGGAAAATCTTGACGAATGAAGGAATATCGGATGCCGAAGGTTTATATAAAAACTCAGTTAAACTCGAGTAAAGTAGCTTTTCTCTGTGATGGCGTACAGCACAGATTTTTCGTCAAAGAGAATTCGTTTCAGATACACGTCTTATCATTCGTATTTGGTTATTGATTTGTTGCGATATACCGTTGTTTCTCATAATAATTTTAAAACTAAGCATCCAAAATACTTAGGTATATCAAACGAGTTCAGCCTGTCCCTATTAACACCAATAAAAGAGATCGTTTAAGCACTTTTGTACTATAAAAACGAGTTTTTGTCTGTATGTCTTTTCGTAAAGCAAAGCCTACTGAACCAGCTTCGTTGAAATTCAACAAACATAACAAGGAGATGTGTCCAGGAAAAAAGGAATACATTATTGCTGCTTCTAAGTTCTAATGGAACCGGGATTAAATGCTGATTGGTCTCTGGGAAACGGACTTTCGGCCTGCGCTGCCCCTGACTCGGCCTGGGCTACCCCTATTATGTGGTGTAAAGGGTAGGTTTCTCGGGAGTAGGTACCTGACCTGAGCTTGCACTTTACCCACTAAATCCCAGGAATCTCCCGGAAATACCTGTGGGGTGGTGGACAGGGTCGTCGACACAGGAAACAGGGCAAATAGCATTGGAGCCAACCTTCTAGGAAATACATTACGATTGTATTAAAATACTGCTGTAATCTTTGGCATTAACGACTCAGGAAGTGATGGTGTCTACGGGTGGTGGATATCCGCCCCAAATAAACCTATTTTTGTTTCAAAATTTTAGATTCAAAAATACGCAAATTCTTACTACATATAATAAATCTTTTATGCTTCTTTTAATACTGTATATGATAGTGGTTTTTAGTACTGTATTATGACAAATTTAAATGTAAAATACTTGCAGTTATTTGAACTTGAATTCATTAATTCTTAGGCCGCGAACGCTAAATATGTAACAGATGTTCGTGTACAGTAGTTAAACAATAAAAAATAGTGCATTTCATCACTAGAGGGTACCTATTTAACAGTACTGTATTACGAAACATTTATATGTAAAATACTTGTAGTAATTTGAACTTGAATTCTTTATTTCGTTGGCCGCGAACACTAAAAATATAAAAGTAACAGATGTTTGTGTAAGGTAGTAAAACAATACAAAATAGTGCATTTCATCACTAGAAGGTGTCTATTTAACTTTACTGTATTACGAAACCTTTAAATGCAAAATACTTGTAGTAATTTTAACTTGAATTCTTTATTTCGTTGGCTGCGTACGCTAAATTTTGGCCGTAAAAGTTTAATTTTGATACTTACTTGTTCTGTGTTATTTCACCTAATAACAACAGTACATTTAATTCCATCCAACATAATTTTTGTTGGAAATGCACAATGTTGAATTGTGTGTTCCAATTATTAAATTGCAAATTACATTAATTAATTGTTGAATGAAATGCATAGGGGCATTTAATTCCATCCAACTGAATTTTCTGATTTTGTATATAACAAACTGTAAATTTCTTTTATTGATTGTAAATATCTACATCACTAGAAGCCTTTTTGTAGTAATTGATCATTTAAACACTGCAGTTACAAGTTTAATTTTGATATTTTGCTGTACCAATACACCAGACTGTTAATTAATATATAGGATTATATTTTAAACACATTCTTATAACATACTTGTTTCTTGTTACATTGGTTTAGTTTTTAATTTCGTATTTTATACTTAGTGTTTATCTGGTTTTTACATAACAAATTGTTATTTACTTTCACTTTGTATTTGCTTGTAAATAGGACACTACCAGAAGTTTTTTTAGGTAAACATTATTTTAAACACTGCAGTTTTTTGTTTACCTTACACCAGACTGTAATTTAACTAAAGTAGGCCTATCATTATTTTTATACTACGTCTCTTGTTTAAATTATCTGAATGAATGTACTACGAATGTACATTCAGCTGTTAAACTACAATTCACACTTTAAACTGAAACAAGAGGTTCTACCCGTGAATTCAAGGGTGAACAGAAACCACCATTAAATTAATTTAATCAACTTTGACTTTATATTTCATTTAAAGGAGTTAGAGAAATTTTCATGTGAAAGGATGTTAAAGGCAGTGGAACCTTCATACCTTACGTCCTAAGGTTGGCCGAGGTTGTACCTGAACACGCAGCTCTCTTTCACGACATCTTTAATACTTTTCAATGAAATTGCGATCTGTTAAAGATCGGTGACAACCTCTTGGAACGAACAACATACATGGTTTGGTAATCTCATAGTCATCATGGTTCGAACACCTTTAGTTACTCACTTGTAACAAACAGCTATAAATAGCTTCACTGTCCATTCACCACGACTCTTTTAAGAACGTAAAAGTAAATAATAAAATATGTAAACAAACAAACTATATTGTCGATTGCATTGGCCAGCTGTTGTTCACTAAATTAATCAAATAATAACTTTCAAAACATGCAAGGCGTAGCCTTTTGAAAATCAGCCTGTGGGGCAGAGCCCTTAGGGAGTTCGTCCATATCAATACTCTTCGGCAAAATCTACACACTCTAAGCTTCATTTTGATATGCCATATGCCTATATTTTTATTTGGTAAATGGCCTTAACCGTTTACATAAAATTTGATTGTATCACTGTAATAATATAATATACTGTTGTATGGATAATATTTTTGTACTATTGAGTGGATGGATTCTTATGTAAACAAGCCTTGAAATCATATTAAGTGAGACTAATTCGTCAACGTTTGTGATTTATGAAAGCTATAGTGACAATAGGCGGATGGTGGCCCCACCTTCTGCAGTAGCCTATCTATAAAAGCTATAATGTATATACAAAACTATAATATCTATAACTAATATTATGATGGTCAATTTATACATATCCACTGTTTTTGTATCTTGAACTGAGGTGACACATATGTCGCCAAATCGTCGTTAAAATTGGTTAAAAACTGTTTAAATATACAACTTTTAGCACGGTGTTTGTAACTAAACTAGCCCAAACTTAGATTTAAATCCATCTAATACCTGCTCTTGCTCTGGAGTGCTCTGGGGCTCAGGTCCTTCTTGGAAGTACCGTACCTAATCCTATTCATAGTTTTTGGCCAGCTTGCTGTGTCAAACACCCCATATCACCCCTTCCCTACTTCCCTCTTACCCACAAAATCTTTTCAAATTTACCTATAGGGAATCTTTTGGGGACAGCAGACTTAGAGCTACCCACGTTCCCTATTGTTTGTTGCGGAGGGTAAGTTTCTCATAATCACCCCAGGCCGAAAGTCCTACACTCTTGGTCTCTATAGCAACGTCTAGGAAGACCACAATGAATACAATTGCAATGTTTAAAGCTGGATAAATTTAATAGTATTATTTTGTCACACATTAAATTCAAGAACAAAAACAGAAAACATTAAAAAACAAAAAGTGTATAAGAACAATTAAGTTTCTAAGGTGTACGATACGGTGATATACCGATAACTTTCATGAACCATAATCTTTCCTTAAGAGATCTCATACAGTTTTAAAGCATTTCTAAAACTACCAGCTTCCAATAAAAGTATACAACGCCAGTTTTCCATTTAAAAAGCTATGTATCCACGATCCGTCCAAATCTGCTTAAACTTCTAATTGACTTAACATTACTTGACATTCACTTGCTAACAACTCACTTAACACCCGACATTGCCTCTTATAAAGAAAATGTTAATCCATCGTTGGTTTGACATTCTGTTCTTAAGCATTTACATAATAAACGAAAGAACGTAAGTATACTCAACAATTCAAAATATAGTGTTACCCGATAAATTGAGCAGATCATGTTAGAAAACATGGTAACTATATAATGTAGTGTAAAGTATGAGTAGGTTTGATGACTTAAACGGACATAATTGACATTTTATAAGCAAATTTCATATAGGGAATAAGCTCTTACCGTAGATCCCATGGTGAGACCTGACGATTTACTTTTTCGTCTTGAGGCCCTTTGAGGCCAAGGCCACCATCCGTGAATTTGTGTATATTTAAATGTACGATTTAAATATTTACGAGTGAAATGATCCGAGTTTTTAGAGAATTTGTAAAAACCGTGTAAACTTATACTGTATTTATTTATTCAAACGAGTTCATGAACCAGTATGATCAGACTATGGGAACAGGGGTTTATGGGTTTAAGATAGGGTATTCCCAATTTTGACGCTAAACAATTTCAATTTATTTTAAAACCATTTTGTAAAGCTAAAGCGTTGCCATGCGCCATTAGGTGAAAATAAAAAAAAAACTTTAGATTTATAATTATTATGTTATTTTTATGAGAATAAGTAAATTGTGTTTGTTTCTTTATGAACAAATTTTCTATCAACATTTCACAAAAAACACATTATTACCTCCCCTGTAGCAGCAAACCTAAATACGGTACTCATTGATAAATTAAACTTATGTTATTTAAACATAGAATAATATGAAATGTGTAGTGAGATATTTTAGTGAAAATCCATTTAGGCAAATGGCAATTCGCTTAGTCTGGAGGTTTGTTGGGGCGGAGTATTCTGTTATACACAATAGTTTTTACAACTCCTACAGTCCGCTACAAGGTACGATGTGTTGCCTGTTGAGAGAAGGCAACACCGGATGTGGTCATGTACGTGGGGGCACATCCGGGGATCTGGCACCGGGGCTAACCGGATTAACCGGGGGTCGGACCGTCCGATGTGACACTAGTATAACCTCCAACAAATTGATCCTCCCAATTAATTCATCTCACAAATATTCACCAGACATACTAAAATTACCACTTTGGGGCATTTTTTGCTCCGTATTTTATTTGCAAAACATTAAAGGATGCGGTACATAATTTGATAACGTAAATATCAACTTTGTATTCAGTTAAGGCATATTCCTAAAAATAA